CGTCCCCGCCACACTCGCTGACGCGACCGTCGGCGTCGACCTTCTCGTCATAGAAGGTATGGGCCGCGCGGTGCACACCAACCTGTACGCGCGCTTCAAGTGCGACTGCCTCAAGCTGGCCATGATCAAGACCGAGCGTCTGGCGCGCAAGCTGTTCAACGGGTCGCTGTACGACTCGGTCTGCCTCTACCAGCCGGGGACGGGCGCGGGCGGGGGCGGCGGCGGCGGCACGGCGGCAGCGGCGGCGGCGCCTGCAGGGCCGCCGCCGCCGCAGCAGCAGCAGCAGGGCTGAGGGCAGCAGGGGGAAAGGGGCCGCCATTTGAGCCGCCCATTCTGCGGCGACGACGCAGCGCGGCTTGGCCCTGCAGGGGCATGAGGCCCGCGGCCCCCGTCACGCCCAGCAGCTGCCCGCAGCCGCGAAGCGGCACCATCGCGGAGCATGCCCTTGTTGGCCGGCATCGACCGGGGCGCCCATGTTGACTGCACCCAACTTGTCTTACAGACGCACACTGCTTTGAGCCCCCGGGGACCCTGATTATCATCCTGATGGCCGCCACCCAGGCCCCTTGCTTTCCAGCCCTGCGCACAAGCGCCCTTGACCGCCGAGTCGGTCCCAACCACCATTCGATTGACTTGCGTTCACAGGCACAAGCACTTGTTGCTATCAGGCCGATCAAAAAGCAGAACCCTGATGGTGTTACAGAAAATGCTCTGTGGCAAGACCCTGTTGCGAATGGGGGACCCAAACAAGACTGGCACCTGGCCGCGTGCGGCGCGGCGCTTCTGGAGACCGGAGAGCGGTGGCGGTGGCCCGTGGGTGGTGGTGGTGGCAGCGGGGGTGTTGCCATGGATTGAGGGCACTGGGGTGGCGGGCAGGCGAGCCAGATCACAGGAGGTCACGTCACAAGTCACACGAGGAAGGATCGAGTCGGGTCGGGTCGGGTCAGTGCTGATATGGCAGACAGATGCTCAGTAGTGCCGCCGCAACCGGGGTCCCAAAGGCTGGGTGCCCGCCGGGGGACAGGGCGCCCGCGGG